GTTTTAACATTTACTGACACATGCCATATGATAAGGTGCATGAACACCTGAAATCACAGCTGACTGCAGGAGAGAGGAGAACCATTTTATAGTTTGGCTGCAGCACGTTGATTGGCTGCTGGAGAATGAGGTGAAATGTAATAGGTTGAAGAGAATGCCTGTGATGAGCTGATTATATGCAGCTGCGGAGTGAATGTATATACACCCAGTCTTCCTGAAAGAACTTGTGCTGAGCTTCATTTAAATCTTGAAAAAAAAGAGAAATAACACATTTAAATTGCACCACAAATAATAAATAAACACATTAGCCATATTACCATGGGACATGGGGACACAGCAAATAAATGCTGCCATCACATCGAAGTTAGAGGCCTTTGCATATTTGAAACCAGTGCCAAATATGTCAAATCTGTAAAGTTTTTGTAAAACTACAGAAACAAACTCTCAATGGCCACCAATCTGCAGATCACACACATCCATTTTACAAAAGATGTAACAAAGATGTTACACTGCCGACAGTCATTATTTCAAACAGTATGAACACATTTAACGCAGAATGCTTGCTCATTCATTTGTTTGCCTCGACCACGATGGTTGCCATGGTATGGTCAGATCCTGGGGTGGACCGGTCACTGATGAAGGCGATATTCATGTCCTTTTGAAGCACATTAAATAATAGGTTAGCGCATAAGAGATAATGAATTAGGTAATTGCATACTTTTTAAACTATCACTCTTAGCTCATTCAGAGCCATTATTACCAGCTGCTAAAGCAACGCTGGTATTGTTTTCACCTATTGAGTCTGCATGTGTGTGTCGTCATGGCAATGTGGTCCTGAAGACACACAGAGGTGCTTTTGAGTACTTTGCCTAGTGTTTAAATGCATGTGGACAGATTTTGTCAATCACAACCGTGCAAGTTTTAGTGTATCTTCTCATCTTTTTTGCAGGTTCCATACAATATTTGAACTGGTTAAGAGAAGAGCAGAAGCCACTTTTCATATGTTACACAATCCTTTTCCCACGCTATTGCTGTCAACACCTATCCATGCTGAACGTTGCTAAGATATTATTGATTGGGGTGTGGCCAAAAGTGCAATATGCTTCAAAATGTAACTGACAGAGAGCAGTGCTTTTGTCCTGTGCCCATGGATTTTATTTTATTTCAAGATTTTTTAATTACGTCGCTAAACTCCTTGAAAAGGTCCTCTTCCTTTTCTCCAAGGTACACGACAAGGCAGCGGATGGCTATAGTTCTCTGCATACTTCAATTGTATTGTGCTATTTTTGAAAAAGAAAAAAAAGAGAAATGACCTAAATGAATATATTTTGAATGGGTGACTGCCAACAACTTGCATTTCAATGACAACTCTAAATAACAATCCTACCTCAAGAAGCATGTCCTTGATCTGTTTCACCGAGATTCATTTTTAATAAAAAGCGATATCACAATAGTAACCAAAGTATTTTTACACTCACAGTAGCCTCTACTACACTCTAAAAACAAATGCCTTGGCTCAACAAAGAAAATCAAGGCGTCAAGGCAACAGTTTGCATCGATGTTTATTGAGTTAAGGGGGAAGGCTTTTCCTCTACAATCAGAGGTGTTTTTAATTACCACTTACTTAATAATTGGTAGCATAAACACAAGTTTTGAAGTTGATTACTCCAAAAATTAAGTTGTTCCAACTTGTTTTACCATATAATTTAAATGTAATTTTAAGTTGTATGTACTTAATTACCATAATTGTGAACACACGTTTTTAAGTTGACAACCATTTATAAATTAAGTTGCTCCAAATATATTGTATTCAATAGTTTTTTTTCTTAGCTTTTTCATGTTTTTGTCTTTAACCACCTTGGTAACAATGAAAACGTTATGGACGCGTTATATAATCTTCGTAATAACTAGCAAACTAAAGATCATGTACATCCACTGCACACATAATCTGAAATAACAACTCATATTTCTCGCATCAAATGACATCAAAACGCATTTTAATGGCCAAACTAACTTTAAAATAGGCATTTTCCATCGAGAATAAAACGAAGTTCGGCCATGTTTTTTTTTTCTTCAGGGAGAAATCACGTGACGTCAAACAGAGCACATGGTGTAGTCCAAACGATAGCTGGGGATTCTGGGTAGTGTAGTGTCTTCTGCCATCCTTTACTCCGAAAACACATTTGTTTCTCCGAATCGAAGGGGAAAAATCAACACATCCTCACTCCCAGGTCGGCCTATGTTGACGTTATGTCAAGTCCTGTGTCGGCTTTTTCCAACGCAAGGGGGGGGGCCTTAGCGTCCATTTTCAACGCAAGGGGGGGGGGGGGGGCCTTAGTGTCCATTTTCAGCTTTCCGGGATGTCCTTATGCTTCTATGGACGCTCATGGAAGCACGGCATTCGTTTGTGTCGGCTGCCCTTAAAGGCAATGTGAGCGTCCATTCTCATTGGATAACGGAGAATTGTACACCCGGAAGTAAGTATTCCCCTTACTGTCGATTGAGTTTACAGTGATATCTGCACTACTCATCGACTAAAAAACACCAGATTATCCTTGTTAATTACACAACATTGATTGGTTTAAATTGTGTGCAATGCTTTTGTATTTTTCCCCTTCGATTCGGAGAAACAAATATTTGTTCCAAATCGTTTGTAGTCCAAACGATAGCTGGGGATTCTGGGTAGTGTAGTGTCTTCTGCCATCCTTTACTCCGAAAAAATATTTGTTTCTCCGACATACACTAGCTTCTGCCAGTATTTAAACCCGCACTCTTTGCCAGATTGTACTTTGCCTCATGCTTGTCTTTCCCGCGTTTGAAACTAGATTGCCTACCCGGTTCCGACCCTGCCTGTCCTCGATCTGCCTGCTCTGCCTGTTCCCTGATCCTGCCTGTCCCTCGACTATCCTGTCTGGCCTGTTATCCGACCCTGCCTGTATCCCCGCTGACCGCCTCGCTTACTCCCTGACTCTCTGCCTGTCCCTGACTCACCTTCTGCCCGCTGTCCTCCGGTGCGTTAAACTGCTCGGTTGGAATTCCTCAGATCCAGTGGAATCTCCAATAAAGTGTATTACCAATTCTCCTTGGTTTCTCGAGTGCTGCATTTGGGTTCTCCTTAAGATTGTGACACTGTAAGACATTATTTGGCATATATTCAGTTACACAGATCCCTTATTATGGACTGAAGGTGAAAACTGTGTTTTATATTATTCGATTAATCAATTAAGAACCATTAATGTATCTCAAATGCCTTGAAATCAACTAAATATATATAAAAAATATTTTATATGAATATTGTTTTTAATTGAAAGTTCTTTATTTTTTCCAAAATGTTGCCCATTTTGATTTATAATGCAAAATATAATCAAAACTGAAATAAGACTTTAGTAGCACCTGGAGTAAATTCAGAAGCTACCCTGCAGTATACAAAGTCATTCAAACTAGCTGCACCTTTACCAGCTTTGATAAACAGATTAATGTATCAATAATTATAACCAAAACATATTATATTATTCTGAAATGGACTGTTCTGCATAATGAGTACTACGTTTTGGTACTTTAAGTATATTTTGATGCTAATGCTGTTGTACTTGAGTAACATTTCAAATGCAGGACTTTTACTTGTAACAGGGTCTCACTACACTCTGGTATTTCTACTTTTACCTGAGTACAAGATATGAGTACTTCTCCCACCTCTGATCATAACTTTACAAACACTCAACAACGTCATGGGAGCGTGTTGCTATTGCTATTAACAACACTGATGACACCTGGCACCATTTGTACACAACATGACCACAAAACACACTTTCTTCCTTACACCTAACAGTGCAATGATTTAAAACACGTTTCACGAACCCCTCTTAATGTGTATCTCTAAACAAATATTTTTTCCAAATCGTTTGTAGTCCAAACGATAGCTGGGGATTCTGGGTAGTGTAGTGTCTTCTGCCATCCTTTACTCCGAAAAAATATTTGTTTCTCCGAATCGAAGGGGAAAAATACAAAAGCATTGCACACAATTTAAACCAATCAATGTTGTGTAATTATCAAGGATAATCTGGTGTTTTTTAGTCGATGAGTAGTGCAGATATCACTGTAAACTCAATCGACAGTAAGGGGAATACTTACTTCCGGGTGTACAATTCTCCGTTATCCAATGAGAATGGACGCTCACATTGCCTTTAAGGGCAGCCGACACAAACGAATGCCGTGCTTCCATGAGCGTCTATAGAAGCATATGGACATCCCGGAAAGCTGAAAATGGACGCTAAGGGGCCCCCCTTGCGTTGAAAATGGACGCTAAGGCCCCCCCCTTGCGTTGGAAAAAGCCGACAGGGAACTTGACATAACGTCAACATAGGCCGACCTGGGAGTGAGGATGTGTTGTATTACCAGGTCCTCCCCAGCTTCAGCCTTTCCTCCAAATATGGTCACATCTAGCATCTTTCAGGAGTCCTTTGGGACATGTTCTATCCTGTTTACTGTCATGTGCTCGGAAGCAGAATGAGGGCAACGGATGCCGACTGAGCCAATTAACTGTATCACGAGGCCACTGATGATGTAGGAGCTGAGCTGACTCATTGTCGGCTGTAACAGAGAGATAAAGATCCTGTCCAAGGTACTTATGATCTTGGGTAATGACGCTCACCCACGTGGATTCCACCTAGATGCAATACAGAACTCCGCAGGAAGTCATAACCGCCAGTGGCCATCACTGTTTACAGTAACTGCTTCCTCAGAGGGTCATGCACTCTGACTCAATAGACTGGTAATGGACTGTTTTCAGCATTAATAGCTTAAACAATCTTATGCAAAACCAACAAAACATGTTAAAAAACATGTAAAACATGTGCAATACTTCAAATACTAATAACATAGTAATGATTATATTAGGATTATGTCTATTATGAGCAATAATCACTATGTTTAGTGTGTTATTGCATATTGTATTCCTTTTTCTCTTTTTATCTCAGGTATAGTGTTTATTGCACTGTTGGATGAGCCTGGTAAGACTTTGCCAATGACATTAAGCATTTTAATCTTTTAAAACTTGAATCTGGATTGTATTTGTGCAAAACTTTGAATGTACAAAACAACAACAAATTGCTCCTGTGGGGATTGCCTACAGTGTTGAGTGTATGTAGGTCGTTTTGGACAAAAGCGTCTAACAAGTGACATGTAATGATGATGATGATTATGACGATGATGATGAGCAGCTCCATTTTCAACAGCAACAAAGCCACATTTTCAAGCCAAGATTTAAAAAAGAAATTCATACATTTAGCACACGGTCACAATAACCAAAGACCAGTGGTGTAAAGTAACTAAGTACATGTATTCAAGTAATGTTGTTAAGTTAAATGTTGAGGTCCTATTACTTTACTACTACTACTTTTAATCCATACAATTCAGAGGTAAATCGTATGCTTTTACTCCATTACATGTATTTAAAACCTTTAGTTACTTTGCATGTTTGGATTATTGATGTGAAACACAATCAAGACTTTGAATACTTTATTTTACCCTGGAGTGAAATTCACAAGCTACCCTGCACTATACAAAGTAATTAAAACTAGCTGCACCTTTACCAGCTTTGATAACACTTTAATGCATAAATACTTGTAATCAAAACATATATATTATTCTGAAATGGACTGATCCGCATACTATACATTTGGTACTCAAAGTTAATTTTGTTGCCAATACTTTTGTACTTAACTTGTGTGAAATGTAGATTGAAGGACTTTTACTTGCAACAGAGTTACATATCACTCTGGTACTTCTACTTTTAAGATCTGAATATTTTTCCCACCTATGCCAAAGACACTGCAAAAGATATTTGACCTGGGGTTTGATTTTATATTAGATTCTGGGATTGACTGGTGAACAAAGAACAATGATCTGAGTAGGCCTATTTCTTTCTTCCGTGTCTTCCACTCTGCTGGCAGAGAGAAATGTTTTTCTTTTGTCCCTGTCACTGCCTTTCCTCCCCGCTGCACCGGGCGGCGGTAATGCGCCTATAAACTGCTTAGTCATCCGGTAACCATTCCAACGAAGAAGAAGACGTAGCAGGAACATGCACTGATGCTATTAAGTGGAGCAAACAGTAAGTTAGTGGAGAGATACACATTAAGAGGGGTTCGTGAAACGTGTTTTAAATCATTGCACTGTTAGGTGTAAGGAAGAAAGTGTGTTTTGTGGTCATGTTGTGTTCAAATGGTGCCAGGTGTCATCAGTGTTGTTAATAGCAATAGCAACACGCTCCCATGACGTTGTTGAGTGTTTGTAAAGTTATGATCAGAGGTGGGAGAAGTACTCAGATCTTGTACTCAGGTAAAAGTAGAAATACCAGAGTGTAGTGAGACCCTGTTACAAGTAAAAGTCCTGCATTTGAAATGTTACTCAAGTACAACAGCATTAGCATCAAAATATACTTAAAGTACCAAAACGTAGTACTCATTATGCAGAACAGTCCATTTCAGAATAATATAATATGTTTTGGTTATAATTATTGATACATTAATCTGTTTATCAAAGCTGGTAAAGGTGCAGCTAGTTTGAATGACTTTGTATACTGCAGGGTAGCTTCTGAATTTACTCCAGGTGCTACTAAAGTCTTATTTCAGTTTTGATTATATTTTGCATTATAAATCAAAATGGGCAACATTTTGGAAAAAATAAAGAACTTTCAATTAAAAACTGTAAAACAATATTCATATAAAATATTTTTTATATATATTTAGTTGATTTCAAGGCATTTGAGATACATTAATGGTTCTTAATTGATTAATCGAATAATATAAAACACAGTTTTCACCTTCAGTCCATAATAAGGGATCTGTGTAACTGAATATATGCCAAATAATGTCTTACAGAGAGCTTTGTTTTAATAGCAGGTGTATTGCTCTGCTACTGTTTATGACTTTTGTTTTTCTTTCATAAATATTAGCAGAAAGATTCAACATGGCAAACCCCAGTCTCTGTGCTCCGCCTGCCAAAAGGACCCGACCCCAACAGCCGAGGATTTGACCCCAAATCACCTCGCTTCATCGCCCTCTGTCGAACCTCCATTGCCACTTCTGCCTCGTCAGAGCCAAACGCTGAGCAGCTCCCGATAGAGCAGCATGCACGATCTGTGCTGAGAGAGACCTTCCTCCGATGTCTCCTCTCCATGACCAACAAGAAGGTTCAGTTTCTCCTGCATGAGAGGGTGAAGGTGGAGGCCACGTTTGGGGCGTCTGACATCGACGTGCTGAACTTTCAGGTGTCCGACCTGCACACTCCCATCGGGGTGCAGAAAGAGGCACTGATCAGGTGTCAGGATGTGATTTCATTCACTTTCGATTCATGAACACTTAAGGCTTTTGTTTCTTGTTTAAACAGCACGTACCATTTGGTATAAGAGGCACTTGGGAGTCTCATGTGTTGTTGCAAGAGAGCTCTATTTTCATACTGTGAGATGGTTATAACATGTTTTATATATGTTTGGTTGTTGTCAATCCTGTCGATATATTTCGGCCCATCGTACTGCTATCTGTGGCTGCTTTTAGAAATCCAACACTGACGAGCAGTCCCCCTTTTTCAGCACAAGAGGGAGACGTTTGCCTGGGATTTGGTTATATCAGACCATATCTGACATATCTCTCACAATAACATCCAGGAAGTGGCTGTTTGTAATCGATGTTGCTTTCACAATGCAGCCATAAAGACCAGGAAATCAAACGATCACACCAATATTTAACCTTGCATCACAAACTGTACTTTTGTTTTATAATCTTTTGGAGGCTCTGCAGATCATCAACACTGTTATTATATTTTGAGAGATGCATTGTCATTTATTATTTACTGAGGTAAATGAAACATTCCACAAATTACTTTTGAATTATCAATTTTGTATTCTGTTATTATAAAGATAATTGGAAAGATTAATATTCGATAAAGGTTCATGTTGCTTAAGAAAAAAAACGTCTTAATGTGTAACCACCAGAGCACCACATCCTTTGACACTATTTCATATTTTGAATACACTTTCATGATAATTTCTTGAGCAAATTGAATTATCAAGTGTTTCTCTATTCACTCTAATAGAGTATAGTTTATTTCTTTGTCATCAGAATGACCCAGTAAGGTTCACAATAAGAGACACAATCATTAATTAATCCATACAATGAATTTGCAGCTACTTTTGCTAAACAATTCTATCACTTTACAAACAATAATGCCAGGACAATATATGTTTATCAATTGTGAGAATGTGCTGCCCTTCCATGTCTCACTTGGAATAGGAAATTGAGTTGGTCCTTGCTGACTTGTGTTTTATAAACCAATAATTGAGAAAATTATCTGTAGTTTAGTTAATAATGAAAAAAGTTATTTAATGCAACCCCATTCACATTGAAGGCACTTAAATGTTCAAATAAATAAATGACAAATACATGTTAATGAAGCTCTTGGTGGTTGGTACCAGAGATAACACTTTACCTTAAAAGTCCACTTATCCAACATGGAAAAGCGTTATACAAACATTAGGAACATGGTTAATGCATAATAATGGCATTTACATTTTTATTTTCAATGTAATTGTCAACAAGTGGGAGCGATATTATGAGGATGGATCACACTGTTGTGACTGTTATAAAATTGAATGTCGCCTGGTTAAGTTATGAACGTTAGCAAAGCCTACTATATGTTTGAACGCTGCTTATGTATGTACAGTGTACATCATATCTGCTCGTCTTTTTGTGTGTTGGTCTTTGAACTGTGCTCATTGTAAGTTCAAACCAATGAACAATTAGCTTAAAATAAGATAAAGTGAGCAGAAGGTTGTTGCATTGATGGAGTCTGACCTTCAGCCGAGGGAAGTCGTGGTCCTGCACCTGAGCCAGCAAGTAGCCGCCCTTCACCAGAGGAAAGTGAAGGATGTTCCTGCTCTCGGTGAGTTGTATCTTTATATTTGACCCTTTGTGACAGATTTGGGTATCTTTGTATTCGTGCTACATCTATTTGTATGTACAGTATTCTGCCTATTGTTGTATTGCATCTCTATTTTTTTTACATCTCTGTAGTAGGCTTCCTTTCATCTCATCGCGTAAAAGATTCTCTGTAGTCATCTCATGTCTCTTGTACTGCAGTAATCTTTCTCTCTTTGAAGTGGTTTTGTGTCGATCTCTAGTCGTTTTATATCTCGTAGTGATTTTTAAGCTCTTTGCAATACCCTGCATTTCTTTGTTGTCATGATCTCACATCTGTTACAATGATCTGTCTTTGTAATTGTTTTGCACCTCTTCATAGAAATAAGGAATCTCTTTGGTCATTGAGCGTTTCTGTAATCGTTTTGCATCTCTATGGGCATTTGACATCTTTGATGGTGTTGCATCCCTTCATTACGTTTAATTGCAGCATTTTTGTGAGAATTGTTAAGTCTCTTCAATTAAAGGTCAGGCCACGGGGGCCTAGAAACACCTTGAGCCCTGGGGCCTGTTCCCAATATGCTCATTCAGTAATCCTTCAATGAATATGAAACGCCAGTCATATCTGAATCGGTAAACGCCAGAAAAAACTGAACATTGATTTAGTTGTTTTCAGTCACAGATCCAATACATTTATGGAGTATGAAAGTAACAGGCCCTCAAACATACTGAGGTCTGTGATCGATCAGGCGAACATGTTTCTGTAATCTAACACAGTCGACATTGAGATATTCCGCTGTTAGTCACTTATTTAAATCATTGGTCATAAATACAGAAGAGCAGGATTTATCATTGTTTAGCACTGGTCTCATGGGGAGGGGGAGCAGGCGGCATCAATACTATTTAATCTTCCTAAAAGGTGTATTTTGCTAGTTCCCAATAAGTCATTTTATTTGAGTGCCATTAGGCGGTCGTGCCGTGCCTGTGTTTCTTTCTGTAGCTGAATTATCCGACCACTCAGTGGAGACAGTCATCAATGAGGCAGTGACTCATCCTCCCTCTTCTATCTCTCTGCGTCTCTCGTCCTCCCTAATCCAAAATATGACTTAAACCTTGTATGACGTCATCCAGCCTTGTGATTCAATCAGGAAGGCCTCAAGGACAACCAATGTTAATTTTAAATACACAGGCTTGTGCTCTCAGTTCTCGCTCTAACCTCTGTGATGAGTGTCCAAACATCAGCAGGGACACACTGTACATAAACATGTGCACTTCCATTACTACTTCTCTTCATTTCTGAGATGTTTTACTATAAAGTATTTCATTTGTAGATTGAACAAAACATTGACCATTAAAGAAAATATGATGGCTTGTTAAAAAAAACTGCAAAGATAAGATTTTTTAAATTACTATTTATTAAATAGTGATACTGATTATTTTAGTGAATGCATATTCAGAAGTGTTATGATCAAATATGGTTCAAATCTATCCAGACACGGTGGTCCTAACTCATGATTTGATGATGTTGGCCAATACTAGGGCTAGGGCGGTGGTGGTTGAGTCCGTAGGGACTCGGCCTGGGAACCGGAAGGTTACCGGTTCGAGTACGACCAAGTGACTACCAAGGTGCCCCTGAGCGAGGCGCTGTCCCTACACTGCTCCCCAAGCGCCGACCTAATGGCTGCTCACTGCTCCTAACACTAGGATGGGTCAAATACAGAGATCAGTCCGGCAGTGGCTCAGTCAGTAGGGGCTTGGACTGGGAGCTGTCGGGTCGCCGGTTCAAGTCCCCGACCAGACCTAAGATATGGAGTGTGGACTGCTACTTGGAGAGGTCCCAGTTCACCTCCTGCCCTGCCATGGTGCCCTTGAGCAAGGCACCGGACACCCCCCCCCTTCCCCCCCTCACTCCCATTGCTCCCCGGGCGATGTGCAATAGCTGCCCACTGCTCCTAGTACTAGACTCCTGGTACTAGGATGGGTTAAAAGCAGAGGCCAAATGTCACTGTGTGCTGTGTGCTCTGCATGTGTGACCATTACAGAGGGTTTCCTCCCTCCCAATTATATTACTAACATCACATGTATTTTGTGTTTGCTCACTATTTTATTTTTTAATAATGGAAGAAAGTGCATATTGTGAAGGGATCTCTCTTTTTTCATATTATGCTTTGTTACAACTTGTTTCTGCCATCCGTTTAGTGGCCAAACAAATCCGTTTACTGCTTAATGTAAATCATAAATGAGACTTTGACTTTATTGCATGTGTAGTGGTAGTTTTAAACAGAAAACAGGACAGATTTGTTTTGCTGTTTTTAAAACTTGGCCCCCATTTATTTAAATTCATCCAGAGTTTTCTCAGTTTTCCGTCCACTGCCGAGACATTTTCTTCAAGAATTCCAAGTAACACAGAGACAAGTGAATTGATATGCTGATTTACTGAAAAATATATCGTTTTAAAAGTTAATTTTTCATAAGACTAATCTTTGCTGAAGAACGCGTGCTGGATTCATGTTCTCTAACTTGTAGCTGTGCACAGGGACACACTGTCTCAATGTTATCTACTCTCACTGTTTGTCTTTCCCCCTGACAGTCTGCTTCTCCCTGATTTCAGTAGAAAAACATTCCTGCCGCTTAGTATGCATGTGTATTTGCGTGTGTGGGTCTGTGTGTGTCAATTATGATGGTACAATGAATCTGCCCTGTATAACATTGCTGGCCAACAGGAAGCACATTCCGCTCCTTCCTGTTTGTGGCCCTCTCTCACTTCCTAGTAAGTGTCTGATAACTTACAAAACCACGTAATCACCCTTTGGCATAAAACCCCTGCCAGCATAATGAAATAACTGAACAGTGACCCTCACCATTGTGTATGTTTGGTACTTTTTATTATGGACATGATGGAGGAGATGATGATGATCCACGAGATAGTATTCGTTAATGAAGTATTCTTAAGTATTTTTGTTCTAACAAAGGTCAAACAGTGACAGAATAACTGTTCACTCTTTTTTACTTCACCTTTAAATAACATTCAGTTGTTGACTTACTGTACTCATTGTCAAAGACCATGTTTTTGTCTAGCATATCTACAATAAATAATATAAACATACTGTCTTATGTGGTCTTTACTGGAGCACCACCAACAGTTTCAAATATTATTTAAAATAACATCTACTCTATGTATTGGCAAAATTGTTATATGGGTCCTTTGTACACTGTCCTAAGGACTTTGGTGGCCCCTTTTCTTAGAGCCTTACATCATGATCATTTTCGAGTCGGTTTAATACTTTGTTTTTTTTCCGAATACCTGCAAATCCATCCCCAGCATGTTAATGTGTGGTTCTAGTCTTTGTCTGAAATCACAACCTATAGTGCATTACATTTGACTTTTCCGCCATTTTATTTGAATGTCTGAAGTCAGTGTGAATTTAATGTACTTCCCTCATAAACATCCACAATGGAAGGAAAACTGCTAACAACCCCCACATAGCAATAACTACTGTAAAACCCTGCTTTCCAAGGGACCCCTTGTAAGTGACATATTTCATGGATTTCAATAAGCTACAATAAGTAACTTTTAATAACATTTTCTGTCCGTATTGATTTTTTTTTTTTAATGATTATACATTGACCCAATAAGCTTTCTTTTTTGATGATTCCAGTGTTTTATTCTTCATGATGCTTGGACATTGTTTTATTAAATCTTTGGTGGTTATACTTTTGCGATGCTGGATAAGGTTGTTTAGCAGAGCGAATTCTCTCTGAATAAAGCACACTGCGCCCAAGGCTCAAGGGCCTCTTTTAATCATCCTTTTTATCTTTTTATTATTTGTAGACATTGTCACTATAATCATTATTATATGAGAAGTAAGGTGTAAAATATAGGCATCAGTTATGACAAAAAGAACAAACCCCTTTGCAAACAGTCATTCATGACTGCATTTGTTGTGACTAAAAGGTGATATTTA